GGAAAAGGATGGCAAGTTACCATTCTTTAATGTTTTAATCGAAAAGAGACCAGATGGCTCATTGGGACACTTTGTCTACAGGAAAGCCACCCACAAGGGTGCCTATCTAAAACCTGACTCCCATCACCATCCAGCTCAGAAGAATTCCCTCATCAAAACTCTTCACCACAGGGCTAATTGCATTTCCGACCATCACCACCTAGCCAGTGAACTGGAACACGTACGCCAAGTCCTCAAGCTGAATGGATATTCGGACTGCACAATCTCTAAAGCTGTCATTCCAACCATTGGGAGAGAACCACCTGAAGATCCAATCAAAACCATCACCTTGCCATACATGACAGTGGTCACCAAAAATATTCTCAAAATCATGAGCAAACACAAGATCCAGGTTCGATTCAACACAGCACATAAAATTCGTGATCTGATACCATCTGTGAAGGATGTGCATTCTGACAGGCAATACCTCCTTGTCTAGAAACTAAGTTGTGCCTGCGGCAGTAGTTACATTGGAGAAACCAAGCAACATGTTTCAGACCGTGTTCGTGAACACAAGGCGGATCTGAAGCACGGTAGGACTAATACATCTGCCGTGGCTGATCATTGTTTTAACGCTGTGTGCACACATGAAATTTATTTCTCTAAGACTAAGGTACTATGCAAACCCACTGGCTATCAACAAAGATTTGTTCATGAAGCCATCCAGATATACAAACACAGACACAATTTCAACCGAGAAGATGGGTACACACTGAGCAATCATTGGAAGAATCTTATTAACCAGGTAAAGTCATAACTGTCTGTGATGCTTCCATTATACCTGCCGATGTTAACGGTTATTTTCGACTCTGTGAGTTACGTTACCTTGTTAAATGTCTTTACATTAATGGACTAAATGTCTCACTAACATAGCTGCTGCTTCGCTTTTCCTTGATGGGGCGGTGGCTCTTGTTGTTTAATAGGCTGAATGTGTCTCATTAACACAGCCGCTGCTGCAGGAACCGTCTCACATTGACAAGCTAATCTTTAATCTCGAGCAATACAATGGCTACTTCAGCACCGTAGCCGTGGGGTTACATTAACAGATTGACATGCTAATCTCTAGCAATACAATAGCCCGAGGTTTGCCTAGCTCTGCGATCTTACATTTACTTGCAAATTCCATCTCTAACCCCGCCCACTTACCCTTGGGGTGGACCCATCTCAAACCTATGTAACCTTTGGCTGCAGTAGCTCTCTCGCTATATTTCATCCTGCCTCAGCAGTCCGCCTGCTGTATTTTTTCACCTGAAGTTGATTGCTTGTGTTGCGATCGAAACGTCGTGATTTTGTATTACTTTATTATTTTTCTATCTACGTGACTTTACCGAAAGACCCAAAGAGTACGTATTCATGTAACTCAAGGGGCAGAACAATGCTTTTCATGATCAGCTAATGGTTAACGCACCACCTTGGAATGGCAACCCTTTTTTGAACAATCTTATTAATTCCGACAGCGTTCTTTGTACCGAAAATACCTCAGGTTCCCAACAGGGCCGCTGGGACGGCGTGTGTGTGTGTATATTGAACCCACAGCACTCTTGCCAGCGCCTACACTCTTTCTCTCGGCTGCGCTGGTCAGGCTCTCTCCACTGCTCCGTGCTCTCTCCCTTGGCTGCAGCTGCCAGCTTTGCACGGGCACCCTGGGGTGTCTCCCACCTTTCTTCCAGAAGGGCTCCTGATTGAGCTGCTGCTGGGAGCTGGCACTCAATGTAGAATAACTTTCAGCAATACTTCGTCTGTCAGCGCCGAACTCACACTCGGCAACGCATCGCTCCTCTCCTTGGTGTTCTCGCCATCCATGGTTGATTGCGGGGCCCACCCACGGAGCTTGCAAGACAGTTTCCGTTGATCCTTGTAGACTCGACCTTTGCTGGGGTGCAGCACCGTCCGTCTCTTCGTGCTCTCCGCCCTTCTTCCAAGAGGGCTCCTGCTTGAGGGTTGCGTTTAGGCTGGATCACTCACTCCCAAAACTCGTAAATTATATTAGCACACCTCTTACCTTCTCACACTTCTTATAGCTTAGCATCGTACAACTTATCGCAGTCCTCGACTCTACAAGCGACTCAAAACATAAGGGTAGATGTAGAATACAAACTTTCAGCGATACTCTGTCGGTCAGTGCCGAACTCAGCACTTAATACATCGCCCCCTCTCATCTGCGAGACACGACACCCATGGTTGATTTCGAGGCCATACTCCGGAGCCTGCCACTTGCAGTACTGACTTCCGTGTTTCGGCTCCTTCATTATATTCGAAAATCTTCCACCTCGGCTCGCCTTCTCACAAAGGACCGGAATTCCTTTTGGTTTCGCTCTCAGCCTGTGGGAACAGCTGTTTGTCCGGTGTGCTTGTGTGTGTATGGCTGTTCTAATTTATTGAAGTAATTTTGTTAAGTCACATCGAGGCCTGGTTCCGGTCCCTTTCCTCCAGCCATCTCGCCATCTGCAGCAATTAGCCTACAAGGAGGGGGGGGGGAGGATTCCTTTGGCTTTTTCTTTGAGTCAGTTTGGAATGTCCCGAAGAATCTCATTAGCCCCCCTTGCACCGGGGTTTTTTAATATTACCTTTTTATGACCTCCTCCAGCTGTCCCTTGTGTGGTGAGGCGAGAGGCAGCGGGGTGTGAGGGATGAGGTGACAACCCCCTTCCTTCGCCCCAGCGCAACCCCCAGATCAGACTTATTTTTAAAAAAATAAGCATAATCATTCTGAATATAAATTTTTAAAAAGGCATATATACAACAGATGGTAACACAACAATACACCTCATGTTCTTATTAGTCCATAACCTGTACAAGGTGCAGTTAAATGGCAAGTGAGTGTAAAGGTCCGTCTTCTTTCTTCCAGAAAAAAAAAAATCTCCAGTCCCAGCACAATGTGGAGAAAACGACAGGCTTGGTCCAAAGCTGGAGTGCGCTTGTGGTCACCGCTGCTCACTGCTCGTTTGCAGTATTATCTATGCATCATGCTCCACAGAGGAAGTGCGCTCTTGGCCACGCTGCTCACTAATCATTTGTGTTGTTGTCTGTGCATCATGTGTGGTTTGCACAAAACGAAATGCTGCTTAAACCAGAAAAAAACAGAGGTTCTGCTGGTTGGCACTTGGGCTCAGGCAAAACAAATTGTGGTGCTGGAATCCCAGACTCTAGGATTCAGTTTTCTACTCATCTAAAGAGTATTGGCACCATACCCGACTAAAAATCTCGTTTGCTCACCACGTGCAAAATAGTCAGATCCTGCAATTTACATATCAGGGCTCTACAACACATTCGACCACTATTGAGTCGTGACGTAGCCAACATGGTGGCATGCAGCATATCGACAAGGCTCGATTATTAACTCTTGTCTCTACAGGACATCTGCCAAAAACATTACCAAGCTCTAGTATTTACTAAATTCTTTGGCACGTGTCGTGAAGGATACTGCAAAATTCGACCATGTATGTCCAGTGCTCGCAGAACTGCTGAACGAATACATTATAAAGGTTGCACTAATTACACACAAAGTGCTTGCCACAAATGAACCACAATACCTTGCTGATCTCGTCAAGAAACATAAACCATCATGCGAACTCCAGACATCCTCGCAGCGGCTTTTAGCCAGTTATTGAACGGTCACTATATCACACACTTTCAGATGTGCTTCTGCGACCATCTGGATTTGCTCTTCCTTCTGATATTAGAAAGCTATTGGAGCGATGCACTTTTAAATCTCGATTGAAAACGAATTTGTTTCACGCGTAGGCTTTCGCAACCAATATCCAGAACAGCGTTTTTGGGTTAGATTGCATATGTGTCGTTAAACCCGCCACCACCTGTCACGTAAACAAAACATGCCAATTCGTTATTAGTACAGCACACCGGTGTGTTGGAGAGCCAAGCCACAACATTTACAATCGGAGTACGACGTTTCTCCAGTAATTACAACTAGCTTCATCAGGCGACAGCCAGATTTGGAAAAGTCCACCTGTTTTCGAGTTTTTTTTTCATTTATTAGGTATACCCCTGTGAGCCATGCGGCTCTTAAGTCGGGTGCAACCGCAACAAACAAAATTTGAACACAGCACATCTTAAAGCGACAACGCGTAACAGAAACATTCTGGAATAAACCAGCAAATATTCCACACACAAAAAACGTATTAAAACGCTGTGTGCAAAAATCAATGTGGTGCAAGCCAACAACAACAATCACAAGACAAATTTATATTAACCATGTTTTCGAATCACCAAAATAAAGCTGTAAAAACAATGTAACAACAATAATCATAGGAAATAGAAGCGTGGATGTGATGACAACACTTGTGCACTCTTCTTGCGCGAAATGGGAGCGGGGGATTAATGAATCGACGTGTATTATGGATGCGCATTATGCGTATTATGGGTATTATGAATTTAAAAAACATTTCTTTAAAACTTATTTTTGTGTTTAGTTAGTCCTTCGCACGCACCTCCGATTAGCACGGTTGGCTAAATATGGTGCAAAATAAGTTCAAAATGCACACAGTGTACAGACACATACAATCATGTTCACGTTGTTGGTGCCGAGCTCAAGCACCCAAGGGCTCTCTGTACACGCGAGGGAGCAATGTTAAAGGAATATAAATAAATACACTTGCTCGAAAACCACTCCTGCTCTCTGACGTCACTACTCCACGTTATGTCATCGGCGCGAGACGCCAGGGGGAGGTGTACCCGGCTAGTGACGGCTCGTCACCGCCCTCCGCAGAGCTCGTGCGCGCGACGTCACGTCTGCCGCTGTTCCAGTTAAATCCTTATTTGGGCAAAGTCACGTCCAATCACTGGCGGTTCATTAACATAATGTTTTCATTAATTCCGTCGCGAGTTCAATGCGTTTGGTTCAACAGCAACGCCCAATCACTCCATATATGGGCCTGGAGCATTAACATAATTAATTCAGTTGCCTCCGCTCAGTGGGGGGGGGGGGGCGGGGAAGAGGTGTCTCGCTACCGACGTCATGTCATCTCCCCGCCGCGCGATGTAATCGTTACGTCACGATATACCAGGACGTTACCGCTCTGCTCGCCTCTCTCACTGAGATCCGAGGTGAGAAGTTCAAATCGTGGTTCTTGTTGTTGTTGTTTACCCAGGTAGAGCCTCGCTCCTCCTCTCTCTCGCAGGGACATCAATTGGGTAGCAGCGAGAATCGATGTCCAGGTTGGAACATTACAACCCGGAGCCTGGCCATGCGGGGCCTAGCCTCCTGCCCTCGCCTGATTGTTTTTGGTTGAATTCTGTTTAAGTTTAATTTGTCTTCATCTGGCTCACCACTTTGAAACAATTTTTTTTAATTAACTTTTTATTTATTTCATCAGGCAAAAAGGCCACTGAGCTATGTAGCTCTTTTTCAGAAGCGACCTGCCCACAGCGACGTGGCTTATGTGGAAACGTATAGTAGCCAATAATAATCTAAACGCGTGGTGATGTTGATTCTCAATGTAGAGGGGAAAACCGGAGGACCCGGAGGAAATTCCGTGCGACCACGGGGAAAGAGACAGGCGTCAGGGTCGGGATCGAACTCACGACCTCCTGTATACCAGGCGAGAGTAGTTAACATCTTTCCATCACGGTGCCCACTCGAGTAATTTTGTTTACGGATGATACCAGTGCCGAATAAGTGTGTTTCACGACTGAAGTCCATTGAGCTAAGAGTAGCTTATTTTCAAGGACGACTCTGCCTGCAGACAAAGAATTCTACAATCGCACTCGCCACCCCCGTGCGCTCGCCTACCCGAGCGTGTTTGTGTGCTGGGTAGCTCACGCACGTGTTTTTGTGTTAGAATTTCCGTGTTTATGTCTGCAGTCGATCATCGATTTTCCGGCGGCTTCGCGGGAGAAGAGGGTGACAGATACTTGGGGCTTTGGGTTTAAAATATTAGTTTGTTTTTGTTTTCCTACAAAACCTTTTATAAGCATGGAAACAGGATGTTAACACAGCACTTACGCAGCTGAAGTCGCCATCTGTTCAGCCGAGCTTTCAAGTAAATCTGAGCCTGGCTTGACTACTCTTAGTTGAAGTTAAATGTATACATGTCTGCATAATACCAGAGGTGGGCCGTCAGGGCCAGCAAGGCCTTCTCTGCTGGTCTAGAGATTGTCAGAATCAGATAATTATATTTTATAATTGAATATATTTTCATAAATGCTACATGTATTTTACAAAGTTCGTTCCCATTAGTCTATCAACGTCATTTCATTGCTACTCTCTCCCTCGGTGGCGCTGCTTCCAGTGCAGCTCATATAAATTTGAGCTTTTATACAATCAGATTTTTCACCTGTGCTGTTTCCAGGTGAAACATCTACCCTGAGGCCTTCAGAATTTCGAGTGATCCCCTCTGCTGTTGAAGCAAATGAGGACAGTGTTGATTGTTATATTCTTTAACCAATCAGATTGAATTTTGATTTAAAGCTTTCGTGACCGCAGTCATTCATATTCTTAGTTCTTTCTGTAAAGTCACGTTGAAGGGAAACAATAAAATAATAAAATATATATAAAACAATAAAAATTCTCACGACGTTTCGACCATAACACAAACGGTCGTCATCAGGTGTGTCAGTTTGCATAAATTTATTTATTTTTAAAACGGTGTATTATAAAAAAACGTTAGCGCCACGCGCAGCGATTTGGCAGTTTATTTAGAAGGACTAGTCCATCTATGTTCTGAAAAGAGGAGGGGGGAGACGAAAAATGTAATGTATGCTGTCTGAAAGCCACTGTAAGCGTGAACAATCAATTAAGACCTGAAATGGTTTATCAAATCCTTCCAATGATTACTAAGCCAGAATCCATCTTCTCGGTTGAAATTGTCTCTGTGCTTGTATATGTGGATAGCCTCATGAACGAATCTCTCATGGTAGCCAGATGGCTTACAAAGAACCTCTGTCTTGGAAAAGTCAATGTCATGTGAGCCTACTGAATTATAACAATGATCTGCCACGGCCGAGGTGTTGGTCCTACCGTGTTTAAGGTCTGCTTTGTGTTCACGAATGCGGTCCGAGACATGGCGTTTGGTTTCTCCAATGTAACTACTACCACAGAGGCAACTTAGTTTGTCGACACCAGGGTATTGTTTGTCCGGAATCACATCTTTTACAGACGGAACCAGATCACGGATTTTATGTAATGTGTTGAAACGGACCTGGATCTTGTGTTTATTCAAGATTTTGGAGATCTTTTTTGTGATCCCCGCAATGTAGGGTAAAGTGATGGTTTTGAAAGGCTCCTCAAGAGGGTCCTTCATGGTTTGAGTGATAGCTTTGCGGATTGTATAGTCGGAGTAACCATTAGCCTTAAGAGCTTGGTGTACGTGCTTGAGTTCACTGCCTATGTGTTCCTGGTCGGATATGCATTGGGCTCTATGATACAGAGTCTTGATGAGAGAATTCTTCCGTGATGGATGGTGGTGAGAATCCGGTTTCAGATAAGCATCCGTATGGGTAGCTTTCCTGTAGACAGAGTGGCTCATTGAACCATCAGGTCTTTTTTTAATTAGGACATCCAAAAAAGGTAGCTTGCCATCTTTTTCGACTTCCATGGTAAATCTGATGGCTGGGTGTATGGAATTGATGTGGTCGAAGAATTGGTCTAGAGCAGGCCGGCCATGTGGCCAGATGACAAAAGTGTCATCCACGTACCTCTTCCATAAGGTTGGGCGCAGAGTGGCAGTCTGGATGGCGTCAGTCTCAAATTTCTCCATGAAAATATTAGCTATAACCGGAGATAGGGGGGAGCCCATTGGGGTGCCCTCAGTTTTTTTGTAGAAAGTTCCATTCCAAGTTAAGTATGTATTGGTTAAACAGTGTCTCACCAGGGGGGGTACCTCAGTGTTTAGTCCTTGATGAACCAAGTCTTCAATGATTGCGATGGTGTCAGGTACAGGAACCTTGGTGAATAAGGAAACTACATCAAAACTGACAAGCAGGTCGTCTGGGGACAGGGAAATACCCTTGATTGTCGATACCAGGTGAGTAGAATATTGTACCGCAGAGGTGGTTTTCCACTGAAAGGACGCAGGATTTCAGACAAAAAATGAGCCAGTTTGTAGGTGGGGGAGTTGATAGTAGAGACGATGGGACGAAGGGGTGTATCTACTTTATGTATTTTTGGTAAGCCGTATAATCTTGGTGGCCTGGCAGCAGAAGGTTTCAATGAAAACTGTTTAGATTGATCAATTAATGCGGTTGAATCAGAAATTATTTTGTTGGTTTGTGTGACGAGGCTGTTGGTGGGATCTCTGTTTATTTTTGTATAACTACCATCGTCGAGTAATTCTTTAATTTTGTTGTTGTATTCTATTTTATCCATGATGACAGTAGCATTGCCCTTGTCAGCTGAGAGGACTACACTATCATCCCTCTTTTTTAATTTATATAATTCAAAACGCTCATCTTTGCTGAGGTTGCTAGCTGGCATCTTAGCGTTTTTGAGGGTTGCAGCGATTTCAGATCTTGCTACGTCTGCAGCGATGTGACCCAGGCCCCTGAGAGCAACACCTACTTGGGCAATTATATCATTAACTGGTATGTGTTTAGGTGTGACTGCAAAGTTTAGATCTTTAGCTAAAACGGATTTCAGACCATCTTAAATAGAACTGTTACTGCGATTAATTACGACTTTATTAACGTCTAACTTTTTGGTGTGTGGGTCCGGTCTTTTGTTGAAGAGGAGGTTAAATTTGGAAATCAGGTTGTCCTTACATTTGGTCGACATAGTAGCAGCTGAAGAGGCAGTCATATTGTCTACATGTTCCAATCCGATGTGGACATTGTTGCCGTCAATGATAAGTGTGATTTGTAGAGTGTCTTGTCTAACTGATCTAGTTCGGTGCGTATAAGTCTGATTTTTTCTGAGATAAGAACTAAGCTAGTTTTGAAAAGAATTCGTTTCGCATTAGAAGAAGTTACAGCAGCAGAGGTCAGTGTAAATGCGATTGGTATTACCCCAGAGTCACGGCATCTCTTCAGAAAGGTGAGAGACTCAATCAGCTGAGCCTTCTTATCCCGGACTTTGTTGAAGGATCTTAAAGTTATGTGAAAACCCTCCCCATAGAGGCGGTTAAATTTTGATTGAAAGCTTTCGTGACTGCAGTAATTCATATTCTTAGTTCTTTCGGTAAAGTCACGTTGAAGGGAAACAATAAAATAATAAAAATATATAAAACAATAAAAAATCTCACGACGTTTCGACCATAACGCAAACGGTCGTCATCAGGTGTGTCGGTTTGCATACATTTATTTATTTTTAAACGGTGTATTTATTTATTTATAAAAAACGTTAGCGCCACGTGCAGCGATTTGGCAGTTTATTTAGAAGGACTAGTCCATCTATGTTCTGAAAAGAGGAGGGAGGAGACGAAAAATGTAATGTATGCTGTCTGAAAGCCACTGTAAGCGTGAACAAATCAATTAAGACCTGAAATGGTTTATCAAATCTTTCCAATGATTGCTAAGCCAGAATCCATCTTCTCGGTTGAAATTGTCTCTGTGCTTGTATATGTGGATAGCCTCATGAACGAATCTCTCATGGTAGCCAGATGGCTTACAAAGAACCTCTGTCTTGGAAAAGTCAATGTCATGTGAGCCTACTGAATTATAACAATGATCTGCCACGGCCGAGGTGTTGGTCATACCGTGTTTAAGGTCTGCTTTGTGTTCACGAATGCGGTCCGAGACATGGCGTTTGGTTTCTCCAATGTATCTACTACCACAGAGGCAACTTAGTTTGTAGACACCAGGGTATTGTATGTCCGGAATCACATCTTTTACAGACGGAACCAGATCACGGATTTCATGTAATGTGTTGAAACGGACCTGGATCTTGTGTTTATTCAAGATTTTGGAGATCTTTTTTGTGATCCCTGCAATGTAGGGTAAAGTGATGGTTTTGAAAGGCTCCTCAAGAGGGTCCTTCTTCATGGTTTGAGTGGTAGCTTTGCGGATTGTATAGTCGGAGTAAGCATTAGCCTTAAGAGCTTGGTGTACGTGCTTGAGTTCACTGCCTATGTGTTCCTGGTCGGATATGCATTGGGCTCTATGATACAGAGTCTTGATGAGAGAATTCTTCTGTGATGGATGGTGGTGGGAATCCGGTTTCAGATAAGCATCCGTATGGGTAGCTTTCCTGTAGGCAGAGTGGCTCATTGAACCATCGGGTCTCTTTTTAATTAGGACATCCAAAAAAGGTAGCTTTCTATCTTTTTCGATTTCCATGGTAAAGCTGATGGCTAGGTGTATGGAATTGATGTGGTCGAAGAATTGGTCTAAGAGCAGGCCGGCCATGTGGCCAGATGACAAAAGTGTCATCCACGTACCTCTTCCATAAGGTTAGGCGCAGAGTGGCAGTCTGGATGGCGTCAGTCTCAAATTTCTCCATGAAAATGTTAGCTATAACCGTAGATAGGGGGGAGCCCATTGGGGTGCCCTCAGTTTGTTTGTAGAAAGTTCCATTCCAAGTTAAGTATGTATTGGTTAAACAGTGTCTCACCAGGGGGGGTACCTCAGTGTTTAGTCCTTGATGAACCAAGTCTTCAATGATTGCGATGGTGTCAGGTACAGGAACGTTGGTGAATAAGGAAACTACATCAAAACTTACAAGTAGGTCGTCTGGGGACAGGGAAATACCCTTGATTGTCGATACCAGGTGAGTAGAATATTGTACCGCAGAGGTGGTTTTCCAGTGAAAGGACGCAGGATTTCAGACAAAAAATGAGCCAGTTTGTAGGTGGGGGAGTTGATAGTAGAGACGATGGGACATAGGGGTGTATCTACTTTATGTATTTTTGGTAATCTGAATTTATGCAAACCGACACACCTGATGACGACTGTTTGTGTTATTGTCGAAACGTCGTGATAATTTTTATTGTTTTATATATATTTTATTATTTTATTGTTTCCCTTCAACGTGACTTTACCGAAAGAACTAAGAATAACAATCAGATTGAGTTTGCCATGTTGGGCATATTCTTTGACACGCCGGAGCCTTCTGGCTTGCCTAGCCACCTATGTTAGCATTTTTCGTGGTGTGTGATCAGAGAGCCAGTTAGCTAACTGAAGTAAAACTCTTTTAGTAAAGTCACATAGAAAGAAAATAAATTAAATACGTGACTTGTGACTTTACCGTGACTCCGTGACTTTACCGAAAGAACCAGAGTAATTCCTGCAGTCATGAAAGCTTCAAATCAAGTTTTAAGTAAAACTAGCTATCACGTAACGTAGCATCATTTAAGATTCATTTAAACTTTCTTTTCTCGACGTTTAGATTTTTAGATGTTGTGCTTGAGATGTTTTATTGAGATTTTTACTTTGCCCTGTTTTAAACCTTGAAGGAGGAAATGAAATCGATTTGGTGGTGGATTTACTGGTAAAGCCCTTTTCGACAAGGACTTTTCAAGAAAAGCTGGAATGTGTGAGGAAGGGTCGACGAACCCCGCAGCTAGCAGCCCTGTCCCAGCCAGGGAAAGGATTTGTGCGGCACTTTCAATCGATCAACTACGAAAGGTACACCTGGCTTATAGCGTTGAGGGAACATTGCAAATGGTGATTGCTGGGAATGCCTGTTTACTTGCAACCGATCGAAATGGTGTTTGGAGCCACGCTGGGATTGCAAATCTGAATTGCTTAACCAAGACAGCAAACGAGACACCAAAGCTATTTATTATTATTGCTTGCTTTAGATCGTTGCTGCTGGTGTGAATGATATTCAGATTCAGTGGCCTGGCTGTGCCTTTGAGTGTGCGCTGTGGCATGTGCATTTAGGCCCAGCAGCTTGGCTGGAATCTTTGGGGAAGCCTGTTGAATCCTGATTGTGTTATTGGTTTTTACGGAATTTTTGCTTGCTTGGTGGTCGCATGAGTAAATGTGACTCGTTGTTGTGAGTTTGTTCTTGATTCTTTGTAATGACATTTATTTGGGCTATACGATGTATATTTGTGATGCAACATCCTGTCATACTGCGTAATAGTGGTACATCCTTGGTGGTTTCAGTGACCATGTATTTCATTTCTCTGCAATTAGTGTATTTTAACTTTAATAGGTTTTGAGCCTCGTGTTAAATCACTTTATTCCACTCGATAAAGGTTACTGTCACCGAATATGGGTTGGTTACGTAGAACGACACTAGCCTATAGCCCTAGTGTCATGGTGAGGTTATTTGAAGGCGGTTTAATTGCGGGAGGATAGCACTGAAGGCCTAGGGTGTAAATTACACGGTCCACCACTGCATAATACAAAGTATTATTTTTAACACCCTTTACTATGTTATCTGCATTTAGCTTAAATATTCCTTTCGTAGCCAGATAACCAAAAGTTTGTCCGTGGAGTTTTAGGTGAACATTCATTTTGAAGATACTTAGGTTTCCAGACATTTCTGACCAGTTGCCCTCCCATTGTGTGCCTTAGCAGCCTGTGCGATGAATTGAGGAAGCTTTTTCACCATATGAATATATGAATACGTATTGACTTGCAAGTCATGTGTGACTATATATATATGCATTCCTCTTTTGCCTCTATGCTGAGGTAGATGGTGTGGATATTGATGTTTTCCTGTCTGCAGCTGACACTTTCTCTGCCACTTTGCTCTGCAGAATTGGTCTAATGGAGCAAAGGCACTCAAAGTTGAGTAAAAAAATACACCAGTGCGACCAGTGTCCTTACAGCACAGATCAAACTGGAAACTTGAAGCAACACCAGAGAAGACACACAGGAGAGAAACCTTTTAAGTGCACTGTGTGTGAGAAAGCATTTGCATACTTATCAGGTTTTCAAAACCACCAGAGAACACATACAGGAGAGAAACCCTTCAAGTGCACTCTGTGCGGGAAGGCATTTGCACAGTTATCACACCTTCAAAACCACCATAAAACACACACGGGTGACAAGCCATTCAAGTGCACTGTGTGCAGGAAGACATTTGCTCATTTACCAACTCTTCAGAACCACCAGAGAACTCACACAGGTGAGAAACCATTCAAATGTACTGTGTGTGAGAAGGCATTTGGACACCCATCACATCTTCAGAACCACCGGAGAACACACACAGGAGAGAAGCCCTTTAAGTGCACTGTGTGCGGGAAGGCATTTGCACGGGTATCATACCTTAAAAACCACCATAAAACACACATAGGTGCCAAGCCATTCAAGTGCACTGTATGCAGGAAGACATTTGCTCATTTACAAACTCTACAGAACCACCAGATAAATCACACAGGCGAGAAACCATTCAAGTGTACTGTGTGTGAGAAGGGTTTTCAACAGTTATCACATCGAAACAGGCATCAAAAGATGCACAAGGAAATGAATCTGAAATCGGCTTGTGAAAGTCACAGTGCTGCAATGAACCCATCCCTCGTGAAAAAAGAACCAGAAGAAAAACCCAGTTTAGATGCTTTGAAAGGAATCAAGGTGACATATAAAGAGGTGAAGGTGAAATGTGATGTGATGTTGAAGAGCGAAGTAGTGACGGTAAAGTGTGAAGACGAAGATTCAACTCCAAAATCGGACCTTCACATTGATGGAGACAACGTAAAGCAGGAGAAGAATTCTGACTCGGAGGCAGATCGAGACAACTCCCAGCAGTTTGTGGATGTGGAGGTGTGGGTGGACTTCGTAGACAATACAGAGTCACATGGAGTCTCGGTAGAAGTGTAAGCTTGAAACGATGAAGCTCCATTGCTTTTGTTCCAGACCGTTGTTGTATTCTAACCTATAAAAGGCATTTTTTGTCTGTCTGTCTGTCCCTCTGTCTGCATACGCTCGCTTGCGGGGGATTTGGCTCTCGGACCGTGGGGTTGACGGCGAAAAAAATTTGCTGGGCGACACGCCCCGAGCCCCGCAGTGGAAATAGGCTATTCTGTTTTCCCATCCCTAAACTTTAAAGTAGTTGAAATCGCTTTTTTGTGCGATATCTCTATTTACTTTTGCCGCTCAAGCTGCCGGAGTAAATTCATCAAAGTGTCACGTCCTCTTCCCCCCCCCCCACCCCAATGTGTGCACTTACTACTATAGCGTCGGTAGATACTAAAATTATCGCGTTTAGACAGGATTATTGTAGCGGGGGGGGGGGGGGGGGGGGAGTTAGCGGCCCAAAATATGTTTAAAAACTTCTGAAAACTTACAAACATAACATACAAATTAAAAAACGCATTAATAAAAATTAAAAACCTAGCGCACCACTAATTGATTATTTAAATCGCGCAAAGGAATCGAAGGTTGTAGATTACTTTAGAATCGTCTTGAAACAACGACATTCAACAGAAACATCCTAGATAAACCAGCAAATCTTAAAAAAAAGTATTACAATGTGTGCTCAAATCCCAATAATAACCATAAGATAGATTAACCATGTTTTCTAAATCACCAAAATAAAGCCTAAAACATAATGGAACAACAGTAATCATAGGAATTGTGATTCTCATTTAACAATAAACGATATAAATAACATGTACGACCAAACTGCAGCCATAGCTGGCAGCATGACACTCCCAGTGTACTATGTGTGAGTGAGTGTATGATGTGTGAGTGAGTCATATGATGAGTGAGTGTATGAGTGAGTTAGTGTATCATAAGTGAATGGGTCAGTGGTTGTGTGAGTGAGTGTATGATGTGTGAGTGAGTTATAATATGATGGGTGAGTGAATTAGTGGATGATGAGTAAGTGAGTCAGTGGTAGTGAGTGAGTGATGTGTGAGTGAGTCAGCGTATGATGAGTGAGTTGGCGTATGATGAGTGACTCAGTGGTAGTGTGAGTATGATGTGTGAGTCATGATGGGTGAGTGAGTTAATTAGTGTATGATAAGTGAATGGGCCAGTGGTTGTGTGAGTGAGTGTATGATGAGTGAGTGAGTCATCATATGATGGGTGAGTGAATTAGTGGATGATGAGTAAGTGAGTCAGTGGTAGTGAGTGAGTGATGTGTGAGTGAGTCAGCGTATGATGAGTGAGCCGGCGTATGATGAGTGACTCAGTGGTAGTGTGAGTATGATGTGTGAGTCATGATGGGTGAGTGAGTTAATTAGTGTATGATAAGTGAATGGGCCAGTGGTTGTGTGAGTGAGTGTATGATGAGTGAGTGAGTCATCATATGATGGGTGAGTGAATTAGTGTATGATGAGTAAGTGAGTCAGTGGTAGTGAGTGAGTGATGTGTGAGTGAGTCAGCGTATGATGAGTGAGTCAGCGTATGATGAGTGAGTCAGTGGTAGTGTGTATGATGTGTGAGTGAGTCATATGATGGGTGAGTGTATGAGTGAATTAGTGTATGATAAGTGAATGGGCCAGTGGTTGTGTGAGTCAGTGTATGATGAGTGAATTAGTGTATGATGAGTGCATGTGTCAGTGGTTGTGTGAGTGTATGATGAGTGAGTGTATGATGAGTGAATTAGTGTATGATGAGTGAATTGGGTCAGTGGTGTGAATTAGTGTATGATGAGTGAATTGGGTCAGTGGTTGTGTGAGTTGGTGTATGATGAGTGAATGGGTCAGTGGTAGTGTGAGTGAGTCAGTGGTAGTGTGAGTGATGTGTGAGTGAGTCATATGATGGGTGAGTATGAGTGAATTAGTGTATGATAAGTGAATGGGTCATTTCTTGTGTGAGTGAGCCAGTGTATGATGAGTGAGTGTATGATGAGTGTCAGTGTATGATGAGTGTATTAGTGTATGATCAGTGAATGGATCAGTGGTTATGTGAGTGTACGATGTGTGAGTCAGCGTATGATGAGTGAGTCAGTGTATGATGTGTTGTTGAGTCAGTGTATGATGTGTGAGTGAGTCGGTGTAAGATGAGTGAGTGTATCATGGCATCCTCCACACCATCACGGCCTCCTCCCCGCCATCACGGTATGCTAATCATTTCGAACAGACACATTCACAAATTTTCCTTTTTCATATATAAGATCGATATAGTCAGCATGTACTACTGTAGTGTAAGCAGGTACCACCACAGTGGGTATCCACTGCTGTAATCATAGGTACCACCACAGTATGCACTGCTGTTGTAGCAGGTACCACCACAATATGCACTGCTGTAATCATAACAGGTACCAACACAGTCGGTATCCACTGCTGTAATCATAGCAGGTACCACCACAATATGCACTGCTGTAATCATAGCAGGTACCACAGCATTATGCACTGCTGTAATCGTAGCAGGTACCACCACAGCAGTATGCACTGCTGTAATCATAGCAGGTACCACCACATCAGTATGCACTGCTGTAATCATAGCAGGTGCCACCAGTCAGTATGCACTACTGTAATCATAGTTACCGCAACAGTCAGTATGCACTGCTGTAGTGTAAGCAGGTACCACCACAGTATGCACTGCTGTAATCATAGCAGGTACCACCGCAATATGCACTGCTGTAATCATAGCCGGTACCACCACAGTCGGTATGCACTGCTGTAGTGAAAGCAGGTGCCACCACTGTCAGTATGCACTGCTGTAGTGAAAGCAGGTACCACTGAAGTCGGTATGCACTGCTGTAGTGATAGTGTATACTGCTATCGAGTTTGTAGATACTGCTATAGAGTAAGTAGATACTAAACTATATACCACTACAGTCAGTCAATACTGCTACAGTTAGTATATACTACTATACAGTCAATACATACTACTACGGTGAGTAGCTACTAGAGTCAGTAGATACTACTATAGAGTGAGTAGATACTGCTATAGAGTTAGTAGTTACTACTATAGTCAGTGGATACTATAGAGTCAGCAGATACTACTATTCAGTTAGTCGTTACTACTATAGAGTCGGTAGATACTACTGTAGGCCCAGTAAATACTACTACTATGGTCAGTCGTTACTGCTACAATCAGTAAATACTACTACACAGTCAGTAGCTACTGCTGGCTCAGTAGATACTACTGTACAGTCAGTAGATACAACTACAGGGTCAATAGATACTACTTCCTCTGTTGTACGTAGGGTGTGTAGGTATATATACCTACGTGGGGGTAAAGATATTTATTGAGGGGGTTGTCCACAATTTTCAGAAACCTTTTAGATCAACTATTTACCCCACACTTTCTATAGCTTTTTGGACTTTTGCAAGCCTCTTATAATTTTGTTCGTAGAGAAATGGACAAATTGCCCACTGGGCTTTCACAATACCTTAGTATCTGTGTATGTGTAGAGGTGTTACGGGAGGGTGACACGGGGTTGTATAACGGTGGCCACAAACACGTCCGCTACGGCCACCACCCAGGGGGGCTGTGGGGGATGCTGTGATCCCTCCCAGCCCTGCCCCTCAGTGAGAGACAGTATAAAAGGTGAGACCCGGGGAGCTGAGAGTTAATAAAGTATTAAAGCTTTCGTGACTGCATAAAATTACTCATTGTTTTTTTCGGTAAAGTCACGTATGTAGAAGTACAATAAAATTATATTAAAACAAAACAATCAGACGTTTCGATCACAACATAAGCGATCTTCATTAGGTGTCAAGAACAAATCATGGAGGTAAATACAACAAGATGAGAGACGAGAATTCAACAAACCTAAGAAACATTATGTGAAGCACACCCAGTCAGGCCAACAACACAGTTGGACACTTCCTGGCGGACCACGAATTTCAGAAGTGTTAAATTTCGTGTTCAACCTCTGGATTGCACATACCAGCATAGACAGAGTGAAAAAATACGAGGTGCACGGTCAGTAGAAATACATATACAAGCCCACCAAGAGGTAAGGAGGGAAGAAAGACAGACAAAGAAGCAAGGAGAGAGAGAGAGGGGGGCCGGAGGGATAAACAGAAGCCTTTAATAGGAAATAAGGTTGGGGGGAGGGGCCGGAGAGAGCGCGGCAGCTGAAACAAGCACATCTTTCACATCAACAAGTGAGGGGGGGGGGGGGTGGGAACAGGCTTGGGGTGCACATTTAGGACAGCACATCTTGGACATCAACAGAAGCGGGGGGAGAGGTATAAGCAGGATTGAAAGAGAAGAAGAGACCCCACCAACAGCCTAGTTACCAAAACCAACAAAATCATCGCTGATTCAACAGCATTAATTGATCAGACCAAACAGTTCTCGTTGAAACCTTCTGCGGCCAGACCACCAAGATTATATGGCCTTCCAAATATACACAAAGAAGATATACCCCTTCGTCCCATCGTCTCCACTATCAACTCCCCCACCTACAAACTGGCTCGTTTTTTGTCTGATATCCTACAACCTTTCACTGGAAAAGCCACCTCTGTGGTACTAAACTCCACTCACCTGGTATCGACAATCAATAGTATTTCCCTGTCCCAGACGACCTGCTTTTCAGCTTTGATGTGGTTTCCATATTTACCAAAGTTCCGGTACCTGATACCATCACAATCATTGAAGACTTGGTTCATCAAGGACTGCATACGGAGATACCCCCTCTGGTGAGACATTACTTAACCAACACATACTTAACCTGGAATGGAACTTTCTACAAACAGACTGAGGGCACCCCAATGGGTTCCCGCCTATCTCCAGTTGTAGCTAACGTGCTCCTGGAAAAATTTGAAACTGACGCTATCCAGACTACCACTCTATGCCCGACCTTATGGAAGAGGTACGTAGATGACACCTTTGTCATCTGGCCACATGGCCGACCTGCTCTAGACCAATTGCTCGACCACCTAAATTCCATACACCCAGCCATCAGATTTACCATGGAGGTCGAAAAAGAAGGCAAGCTACCCTTTTTGGATATCTTAATTAAAAGGAGACCTGATGGTTCAATGAGCCACTCTGTCTACAGGAACGCTACCCATACGGATGCTTACTTAAAACCAGATTCCCACCACCATCCATCCCAGAAGAACTCCCTCATCAAGACTCTATACCATAGAGCCCAATGCATTTCCGACCAGGATCACATTGCCAGTGAACTCAAACACGTACACCAAGCTCTGAAGGCTAATGGTTACTCCGATTACACAATCCGCAAAGCCATCACTCCAGTCATGAAGAAGGATCCTCTTGAGGAACCATTCAAAACCATCACCTTACCCTACGTTGCAGGGGTCACAAAAAAGATCTCCAAAATCCTGAATAAACACAAGATCCAGGTCTGATTCAACACAGTACAGAAAATCCGTGATCTGGTTCCATCTGTAAAAGATGTGGTCCCAGACATACAGTACCTGGGCGTTTACAAACTAAAGTGCCTCTGTGGTAGCAGCTACATTGGAGAAACCAAACGACATATCTCGGACCACATCCGTGAACATAAAGCAGACTTGAAACACGGTAGAACGAACTCCTCTGCCGTGGCAGATCACTGTTATAATTCAGTGGGCTCACATGACATTGACT